TAATGAGTTGCGACTAGAGGGAGAAACAATATGTCGGCCACTCAAGGTCGTCAGCGGGCTTTTGTCTGACCCAAAGCGGTGTCTATCCGGGAAGCATGCGAGACTTAGCAGGAGCCACCTGAGAGAGGGGGAAATGGGGGAAGGATTGTGATTTGCCCAGGTTTTGTCATTTTGTATCACTGTAGATGGACTGGATTTATTATTATGGATTGCCTCTTCAGATGAATCATCTCTTTTTCGAGGGGGTCCACCCCCCTCAAGAAATGCAAGAAAACTAAAACAAATTGTTTTATTGTTGATTGACAAGGATTTACTTTCCCACACAGACTAGATAAAATTATATCATATTTGTATTTGCACATGCCATAGGTGAACGATTTTGAACTAATTTCACAGACTCATCGCAAACATCCCGTTTAAAAGAAATGTTGGCCCTTTTAAGTACACTGAGCATTAGTGTGCAGTGACAAACCGGAGGGGCTCATAAAGAGGAGGAAAATACATAAAGTAAGGGGGAGACAAATGTCAACATCCAAAGTATCTGGGTTTTAAAAATGGGCTAGTGGAGTGATATCAGTCTTCCAAGTGGATTGGCATCACTATTCATTCACACCAAACTTTACAAACTTGTTTTGAAACTGTTTCTCACAATGATGAAAGATGACTATCAGAGCCAAGGAGTTGCCAGGTATGGGAATCGATATCCTCACAATGGGTTCTGTAGCACTCCTGCGCTTGGCTAACACCATGACCCCATCTGATGCCACAAGGACAAATGCAACACAGGACTCCTTTCCTAAAATTATTTGTTCAATTTGTTATAGTTAAAAGAAAACAATTCTTAAAGCCTAAGGCAGGATCAGAAAACAGGGAGGCTGAACTGTACTTCATCAGAATACTGTGAGATAATATCATGATAATTGACCAACATTGAAAACTGTGCATTATTTCTGATCATCTATTTCTGCAAAACCTTTGTGGCCAATTAATTCAGTAATTGTAATTTTAAATTGTTTTTGGGCTTAAATATAATTATTAAAACTCAGTAACCAGGGAACCATTGACCCAGCCTGAGTCTATGCCCAAGTTTCCCAGCTGAATTTTTGAGTTGATCAGCTTCAACCCCATTATTCAGAATGGGAAGTCCAAATGTCCTAGATTGCATGAACACAGCCTGAGACAGGAGCTTTTAGATAAAAGGGGCCGAGTTACATGTTTGTGCCAGAAGGACAATGTTGAAAGAATAAGTTTACTAATAATGCCTGCTATACACACAGGCAATACAACCACATCCTAAGCCTCATTTTCTGCAGTCTTCAAAACCATAGGCCTTGGATTAGCATAGCCTACTCAGCAGCTTTCCTTTATTGCTTGTGATTGTAAACAGTAGCAGGAGTTCTATTTTTTTGCCTGTCTTTATGGACGTCTTGAATTGCGGCGGTGAGAGGAATAGACAGGAAACATTTTGGACGACCATTATAATAAGTTTGTTTTTGGTGTCTGCTGTCTGACTGCTGAGTGTAATTATACCTGTCAAAGAGGCTTAAGCAGAAAACAGGTCGTTGTAAATGCAGGAGAAAAAGACAGGATGCTTCTGTAGTGTTTGTCTACAGAAATGCTGGATATTAGTCATCTACTCTACATTGTGAATTACATATTGTGTTTGAGGTGTAAAAACAGATGTGAAAGATGAGCTTCAAACATTTGCACGAAGAAAACACTTTTAGACCATCGGCCCCTGACCAAGAGGAGTTTGACACCGAGTTTGGTTAGCATGAAGTATATCGGTTTGTGCATGATTAAACACTTAGACTCAGCAGACCGATAGGTTGGTGTGAAATTGTATTCATGTGGTAGATGAAAATTTTGATTTTGTTTGGGAAAGACTTTGTCAGATAGAAAGTCTGAAGACTGCAAGAGGGAGCTGACTAGAGATCGAAAGTTATGAGCAGAAGCATGACGCATGAAGAGGAAGGAGGCGGGTTGCTGCGTGAGCTGACAGCTTTAGCGCAGGAATGAGAGGCATTGTTTTAATGCAGCAAGTGAAGAAGATACCGATCAATATCAGATTTAGTTTTAACAGCAGAGTTGTTTTAGCACACCAACCACATGCAATGAAGTTCAAGCGTACAAGCCGCATTCACTTGACTTTTTTAATTGTGTTTGAGTTGTCATATATATTGTATATATTTTGACAGTCTGAGTGGGTGTGATGGGTGGCTAAGTTCATGCATAAATCACAAGCTATCCAGTTCAAACTCTAAACTGCACAGTTGTGTTGTGTCCTCGAGGAAAGGCAAACCTCATTCTTTTCATAGTATAATAAATGGGGCTAGTGACAGACAGAGAACATGAAAGTTTATAAACTGCTAAATCCTACCGGACACAGAGTAAAGTTGACAACCAAACATATTTAACTATAAGGCAAACGAGTGCTTATGCTGATGTCCTTTCATCACTATGCCAGCTACTTTAAAACCTCTGCTGTCTCAATATGTGTTTTTCAGATTTCCATAGCGTGAAGCGTGCAGCGCCTCCGGCCATGGAAGCGACTCTGCAGCGCGATGATATTAGCCTAACGCGTGCTGCGTCGTATACTTATCAAGCTAACAGCCACTTGATAACAAAGCAAAACAGCTATTTCTTAGCGCGGGCCCAGCCACAAAAAACACTTTTCATTTGGAAGTGCTTGTATGCCGAGGGCTTTGGAGCCGTAAACGCTTGGATCAACACAGCGCCGACTCATTTTCTGAGCTCAAGCTGTTCGCAAATTGAGCGTCTGTTTGTGGTATAGGGCAAAGTCATGTGGGCAGGACAAGAAGGGCCGTGGACTGAGAGGGGCACGCTGGGAGAATGGCAAGATGGAAAGTGAACCGCATGCATTTAAAGTGCAGTGGGAAAGTGATACTTTTAAAGGAGACATACGTTTTTTTTTTACTTCATCCACCCTAATAACCTCACCCCTTCTGTCTTAAAGCTGTTTTCAAACTCATCAAATAGGAAGAGTGTTGCTTATCCTGTCTCTCATTCCATTGAAGTTAAGGTTATACTTTATTGTCCTTTATTGTATAGGGACAATAAAGTATTTGACCCGGTCTGCAATGCCACTAGAACAACCTGACTGGAGCATTGGTCGCTAACACCCTTTGGATCCTGGTGTTTAAATGTTGACATTGTTTTTGGAAATCCAGTTAGGAGCCATACAAGTATTGACCAATTAGATGGCTTCATTCATGCCCCTATTAAAGCACAAAGGCAAATGTCGTCAGAAGAAATACAAGAAAATTGGCTCAATCGGCGTCATTCCTCAAAGATGATTTTGTATCGTCTCCTTTAGATGTGACACATCATTCTGTTAGGTATATTAATAAGAAACTACGCCCAGAGACAAGCATGTTTTCTTCCACTGTAACCCACAATAAATAAAAGCTGAATTAATGACTTCATATTCAAACAATGAGACAAGGTAATTCTTCCCTTTTTCTCCTCAGATTGTCAGAAATATAAGTTAAAATCATATGAACCAACTTGAAACTGGTTATACACAAAAACCGCAAAATCCATGCCATCTAAATCCTCGTTTCCCCAAAAGTCTGCCCCGACTGCTGTCCCCTGGGGAATAGACTAAGTGCCTGCAGAAGTCTTAGTCAGAACAACTTAAACTGAAATATTCTTTATTTTTTATTGTTTTATTATTTCAGTTTAAGAGTGACCTGGGTCCAGCAGGGTGCATAAACACGCCGGCCGGAAAGCTGCTAAATAGGGTCCACTGCTTCACCGTACTGTACCTGCTCCGAGGAAAAGATTGTAATATCGACAAGGAATATATCCAGCAGAGTGCGCTGGGGCTAAAATGTCAATTAGACTCACTTCTTTTGGTCTCATGATGGCAGGGATCTTCTCCGAGCCAGTTCATTGGAATGGCATTTGGAAAAGAGAAAAACAGCAGCTAAGTTATACAGAAAAAGGGGATGCGTGTTGCCCCCAAGCAGACTGCCAAACATGGAACCATCTTCTGGACCAGCGATGCTCAGCCGTTTTAGTTCTCTCCATGCATCTTTACACTGCGTTTGTAAAACTTCATTCATCATTGTAGAAGCCTCATCAGAACGCGTGTGTGGTGCAGGGATGTTTGTTTAGATATCACGCACCATGCAAGTACCATGAGATTTACAATGAGGTATACCATGCTTATATTGAGTAAACTGAAGTTGGCTGGATGACACTGTGTTTATAATCTCAAACACTACTTTGGCTTAGCAAGGCAGAGGGCCAAATAAAAGTACCCAGAGGGCCACCCATAGTTTAGGTACCCCAACTTTAAGTAAATGCATCGTTGTTGTTATTCCTGTTATATACAGTAGGTTATGCATTTTAGAAGTGGAAACGGGCCCTTGCTATGAGGATTTTTTGAATCTCCACAAAGCTGACTCATACTTAGGGAACTCCAGCTTTTTATTAACATGAAATGCAGAATATCTTTCCTTCTCTCCACCAATTATCTTTTGGGCCACATGTTTTTCCAGGATGCAAATCATACATGGGTCTAAATGAGTGTTAAAGTTACCTATACTCTGAAGGTCAAATCTCCTAATCTATAATCTAGACAAAGATCCTCCTACAAGCTATGTTTGTGAGAACTCACAAGAATACGTAAGTAAGTAAGTTTTTTATTTATATACCGCCTTTTCACTGCAGATCTGAGTCTCAAAGCGGTTTACAATTGTTAATTTTTGGGCACTTGTCTCTCACTCCACACAGAGATGGGAGCGGGGCCAGTACAGGAGGCGTATGCCAGAACTATTGGACATATTTTTAGTGGTAGGGGAAACCGGAGTACCCGGAGGAAACCTACGCAGACACGGGGAGAACATGCAAACTCCACTCAGAAAGGCCCTGGTCCGACCGGGATTCGAACCTAGGACCTTCTTGCTGAGAGGTGAGAGTGCTATCCACTCAGCCACCGTGCCGCCCAAGTGGAGGAGTAAGTAAAAACTTACTTACTTACTGCTGCTCCTCCACCCTGCCACTCCTGCTGCTCCTCCACCCTGCCACTCCTGCTCCTCCTCCACCCTGCCACTCCTGCTGCTCCTCCACCCTGCCACTCCTGCTCCTCCTCCACCCTGCCACTCCTGCTCCTCCTCCACCCTGACTGATGGAAGAATACATTCTTCCATCAGTCATTTCTTGCCAATGCAGAGTCTCAGGACAGTGATCTGGACACTGGGTTTGTTTTAGTGCATTTTCTGTGTTCAAACTGTTCTGTTCTTGGCAAATCGATAATTGTTAAGTCTTCTAAAATGACTACTATTGTGGTTTAAAGAATACAGTATAGTACTATAAAATATATTTATTTCATTGAATGAAAAGTCAACGTACTGGAACAATTATCATGACTCTCCTCATACAATCGAGGGGAAGACGATACAAACATTTTACACACATTGCCATCACTGAAAAAACGGGGCGGGATGAATTCTAGCGCACACCAACTAGTTCCACTCGGCCGGCTTGCTTAGCTTTGTTATGGCCATACGTCAGCCATGTTGGATTTGGTGAGGGGCTGCTTACCGCCACGCACCGCCGCTCCATGCTCATATTACTGTTGTTCCTATTGCCGCTTTTTGCTTTTGCTGTTAATAAACTCCAGCCTGCGCATAGTGGAGGTCGGCGAGGCTCTTCACAGCAGATAGTCCCGGGGATGAACCCGACCTTGTCTCTCTAACGTCCCATGAAATGTGCCGTACGTATGCGGTTATGGCTTCAAGGTAATCCATGCGAGGTAATACTGGCTAACCTTCCAATCGAGGCAAAGCCTGACAGATGTTCCAAATACTTTTTTATATATACAGTTGGCAAAATATTGGTCTGTGTCCTCTAGATTCCAGATGGTATCACAAGGGCCAGAACAAATGCGTCTACATTTTTTTAGCATTTTTTTATTGGAGCCCCATCACATGAATATATACAAGAGTGATCATTTCTACATGCATTTCACAAGTGAACGTATTGTTCTAATTGCTGAGAGTTGTGCTTTGGAAGATATTTATGATTGTTCTGTCAAGTGGAAGCTTGTGAGTGAGCAATTCAACTAGTGCACTGGAACTGCATTTGAGAGAGAAAAAGTCACCCTCTCTTATCCTTGACCTTTTCTGAGACATAGTAGTTCCAGTTTGGGAAAGTGCATTGCAGGCAAGAAAAGTAATAAATTATGTTTAGAATGTGTAATAACACTGATCCTCCTGCAGGTGGTGAGTCCCCTGAAGGATGGCTGCTTCGTCAGTGATGACACAGCCTTGATCTTTCAGCAGGGCTTCGGGGACAGTGGGGTTAAGTGTCTTGCCCAGGGGCACAACAACAGCAGACTTCAGTGGGATGGAGAAGGTCTTGTGGAGGGAACTAACCCAACCCGGAGACTAATGCTCTACCAACTGAGCCACTGTCGCCCCAACTTGTTTGCCAATTCATTTCAATTCAATTCCATTCTTTTAATAGCCTTTCATCACAACACTAGTTAGCTAGGACTTTAGTTGTCGATTCGTCAACACAGATTAGAGAATCAAACATCTTAAAACCCAGGAGATGTAATGATAACAAACCCATGGAGCCATTGGTCCATAAGGGGCAGATGATCATTTTTTTGTCCAGCAGTGGGTTAATACATGTCCTTAAAGGTGCAGTAAGCGATCTTGTTAGCTTAGCCGTAGCCCCAACTCGAAACCACTCCCCCCGTCCCCTCGCCTCTCCACCAAACCAAACATCCAGCGTTTTCTTTTCTTTGTCACACCAGGTGACTGGGGTAGTCTTGCACAGTTTTTCCAATGTGCTTTTAATGCAAACGGCAAATAAATGAATCTGAATCTGAATCTGAATCTGAACAGGGAAAGTGGAGCAAACATGAAATTGGCATTTTCTGTTCAGTTAGGAAATCCGATAACTCAGGTGCGCACACTCGTGAGAAACAGTGTTGCCAACTCCTCAGTAAGGAAAGTAGCTATTGGCTGTCCCAAAAGTCGCTAGAAGTCGCTAAATGACGTCATCGCCTAATTTGCATAATTTGCCATTTGCAAATAACTGTAACGGACGCTGTAGGAGAGAGGAATAAGGTCGTGGGAGAGACAAAAGTGAGTAAAAACACCCTAAATATGTTTAGAACTACAAATGTACAAAAATAATTTCAACATTAACAACATTTAATGATTTTAATGCTTTGTCTAGATCCACATTACACACATCAGTTTTGTCCTGTATTGTTAAATGTTATAACAGCAAATGTAATCAAAAGATTGTTATGTAGGGTGAAATTGCTAGCTCTACAACCAACCCTCCTCCTTTATCCGGGCTTGGGACCGGCAAAGTGACCCAAAAGACACACTCTGGCAGAGTTACTTAGGTTTATTTTTGTAAGTTTTTTTTTTTTTCATAGTTTGGCATAACAAATGATTTAATGTGACCCACTACTGAGAGAAAACAGAGTCACGGACAGAGCTGCCGCGGATGGAGTGGGGGGTAGTGGGGGGTGGCGGTGGTAGGAGTGGCCGGGGAGCTTTGGATGTGTGGTGGTGGTGGAGCTGAAGTTCAGTCTGCAGCAGCCTGAAAACTTCCTGTGCTTTTGAGTCTCCTCTCTCTCTGGCTCCGCCCATAGACTGTAGCTGGGACTGCTGCGCAAGGCTACTGTGAGACTGGCCGCCTGTAAGTGCTTTGGGACGGGGGAGGGGCTCACGTTGAGGACAGCAGAACAATACGTGCTTCACGAGTCTCCAAAACACCAGATAAGTCGCCAAAACACCAGATAAGTCGCCAATAACACCAGATAAGTCGCCAATAACACCAGAAAAAGTCGCTAGATTTGTCGCTAGTCGCTTTTTTGAAAAAAAGTCGCTATAGGGGTCTGAAAAGTCGCTAAATCTAGCGACAAAGTCGCTAAGTTGGCAACACTGGTGAGAAACAGGAAGAGGGTGAAGGGGGTAAACGCATCCCATTGGTTCGTTGAGGATGAACAAATCCCATTGGTTTATTTTCATCGGTCTGCTCCAAAATATAATTTATACATTTTTGGAGACTAGGCATCTGTTCAATTCCATTACTATTTGAAAACGCATGATAACATGGGTGACAGTAGCTCAGTTGGTAGAGCATTGGCCTTAAGGCCAGAAGGTCGTGGGTTCAATTCCCACCTCTGCACCTTCTCCATCGACTCCCACTGATGACTGCTGTCGTTGTGTCCTTGGGCAAGACACTTAACCCCACTTTGCCCAAAGCCCCCACTGAAAGATCAAGGCTATGCTCACAGTCAGTGGACGTGACTTCCTGTATCCGGTGAGCGTGTTTCTTGACTGCTATCACTCTGCTCTCTGTTTGCACAAACACATTACAAATCCACGTATTGTACACCAAGCTAACTGTGTAAGCACTCCGAGTCAGCTGTACTGTCGCTGAGGTTTAGGTAGCGGTTGTTTGTCTGGTCTCGGAGTCTGTTGTGCGGGCCCGGATCCGTACTAGCTTAGCCTAGCCTAGCTTAGCCTAGCCTAGCCGCTAACTCGCTACTATGGCGGCTGCTGTCTCTCCCTCAATCCTTTACTGCTCGAGTTGCCATATGGCGAGTCTAAACCCTGGATCCTTCTCTAAGGGTAGTGATAGATGTGTGAAGTGTAGTGTAGTCGTAGCTCTGGAATCCAGGGTCAGTGAGTTAGAGCTGCGTCTCCGAGCACTGGAGTCTCGAGCTAGCGCTAGCATTAGCTACAGCCAGGCCGTATCCTCAGGGACAGCGGAGCGCAGCTTTAGGGAAAGGCAGAGGAGAACTAGCGAGCCTAGCCTCCCAGCCCGTCCTCCGCAGCTGGGACAAGACCAGGATAGTGATGGCTTTGTGACTGTTCGGAGAGGGCCACGTGTTGTTGGTAGTTTCCCCATTGGGCCTCCTCCTGTTAGCATTTACAATCGCTGGGACGCTCTGTCGGGGAAGAAGGCCCCACTGAGAGAGCCGCTGAGAGAGCTGCTGAGAGAGCCGCTGAGAGAGCTGCTGAGAGAGCCGCTGAGAGAGCCGCTGAGAGAGCTGCTGAGAGAGCCGCTGAGAGAGCTGCTGAGAGAGCCGATGGAGTCGCTGATGCGCTGGTAATTGGCTCCTCTATTGTTAGAGGTGTTAAGATCCCAGGAGCCACTGTTCGGTGCTTCCCTGGGGCCAGGCTTGGTGATATTGAAGGGAATCTGAGGCTCATGATGACCCACAAGCAGCGTTTCCGTCGAATTGTTATTCACGCGGGTGGTAATGACGTTCGGCGGAAACAGTCCGAGGTGTTGAAGCTGCAAGTCGCCGCCGTGTGCAAGCTGGCTAGCACAATGGCCGACACTGTCATCTTCTCTGGGCCCCTACCTAGCACTAGCAGTGCAGAAGCATTCAGCAGACACTCGGCTTTCAACCGCTGGCTGTCTGGCTGGTGCCCTCGAAGTGGTGTTGTTCATGTTGACAATTGGAGTGCCTTTTGGGGAAAGCCCGGTCTCATCCGCTCGGATGATATCCACCCAACGTTGGCGGGTACATCCCTTTTGGCTAAGAATTTGGCCCTGGCTCTAAACTGTTCTGCTCGGCTCAAATGACGGTGCAGAACTGAGGCCCGGGTGCAGAGCTGCTCTGCCACAACCTCTGAGCCCCCATCTGTTCAGTTACTAGCCTCAGAAGCTAGTCAGATTGAAACTGTGTGTGCATGTGTGTGTGTGTGTGCCTGTGTGTGCTCAGTTACTAGCCTCAGAACCTAGTCAGATTGAAACTGTGTGTGTTCCCCGCTTGAAGTCTAAAGCACTATATGCGAGGAAATCTGACCTAGGTGTCAGACACAGTAACTTAATAAAAGTTCAGACAGACAGAAATAGTTCTAACAGTAGGGTTGTTAAATGTGGTTTAATGAACGTCAGATCAATCTCGTCTAAATCACTTCTCATAAACGAACTTATTATAGACAAGGGCTTGGATCTGTTAGCGCTCTCGGAGACTTGGCTCCAACAGGACGAGTACGTTAGATTGAATGAGTGCACTCCTCCGACGCATGTTAACTACCAGAAAGCCAGAGCTACAGGTCGCGGCGGTGGTGTTGCGATTATATCACACACCAACTTGGTTCTTAGTCCCAAAACCAACAACGCTTTTCACTCGTTTGAAAACTTAACACTTTCAATCACCTGTCCTGGGTGGAGAAAACAAAAAGCAGTACTATTTATAGTTTTATACCGACCTCCTGGTCCTTACAGCGAGTTCCTAACAGAATTCTCTGACTTCATTTCAAACCTAGTTTTGGAATGGGAAAACATAGTTATAGCTGGAGACTTCAATATACATGTGGACGACAGCACTGACAGCTTAAACAAAGCTTTCAGCGCCGTACTAGATGGTGTTGGTTTTACTCAGAATGTCGAGGAACCTACTCACATTCATAACCACACCTTGGACCTTGTCCTGACCTACGGCTGTGATGTCTCCAATGTTGACATCCAGCGTCAAAGCTCGTTGCTGTCTGACCATTTCTTGATCACGTTTGATCTCGCTTTGGAGGACTTTCCTGTCCCGCAAGATAAAACCATAATGAAAAGAACCTTAAATG